TACATACATACATACCTACATACACCCATACACCCATACAATCACATGTATGCATGTATACAAACATATACACATACATGTATACATGCATTTGCACATACATACATACATACATACATACATACATACATAAAACATACATGCATGCATGCATCCATACATGCATACATACTTACAATCATGCATACATGCATACATACAACAACACACATGCATATGCATATATATATACACATACATGCACACATAAGAAAGACAACACTCTCGTGCAATAAGGGCCTCTCTCGATGCTCGCTTGGGCCCTCTGGGCTCCGTCTTGGTAACCTCTTGGGGCCTTCCTGGGCCGTTTTGGACCCCTCCTGAGGCTCTCTTGGGCCAACTTGGGACCATCTTGGAGTCACCTGGGCCCCCCACCTCCCCGGCAAACTTATGGAGGTCGCAGCAAGATACGCCCGGAAGGCCTCTCCCCAGAGACCCTGGCACATAGATCTACACATCTTAACATCTGTCTATACACCATGTATATGTACATGCATGTCAGAGCACATACACATCACATACATATGCGTACACACATCTACTAGAATCATGCGCGCGCTTCGCGCGCGCTTCGGTTCCAGCACTGCCAACACCACCTTCCAACGGACCGTAGAAAAGGTCCGCATAGCGCACCCGCCGCCCATTGCAGCACATCCCGCACGCGGATCGTGGCTTACAGAAAGCTCCACAGACGATCCATAAGACAAGGTTGGCATAGCGTCTCTCCGCCCAGTCCTGCACGTCCTTCGCACAGATCGTGTCCCGCAGGGATTTCCACGCACGGCCCCAAATACAGGGTTCACAGCCGCACCCCCCGCCTGCTTCGGTACACCACCCGCGTGAATGTCCCACAAGGGCTTGCACCCACGGCACCAACAAAAAGATTCGCTTAACGTCCCCCGCCTATGTCGGCACACATTGATTACGTGCACGTGTCTGCGACTGTTTTGTGAATCTGTATGTGTGTGTGTGTGCGTGTGCGTGTGCGGACGCGCACGCACGCACATGCGCGTGTGCGCGTGCATGCCACGGGCCTCCAACGTCTTGAAACATCAAAGAGCACATGTTCGACGCTTCCGATCACCGGAGCAGCTTTCGGGCCCGGGCCGCTGGTTTTCGGCCCTGCGGTCGGCAGAGAAGGAGCGATTCAGGAAGAGAAGCCGCTCTCCGGGACGGGGTCGAGAGGCCCTGGGGCCCGCACGCTGGGGAGCCGAAGGGAACAATGGCGTCGAAGGCCTGGGCAGGGAACCTCTTCACACTCATGGGGAATGGGTCACTCGAGCGTGACCGAGCTATCAGGCAACAGGATGGACGTAACGGCCGGGCCGCATGACCAGAAGCGAAACAACTGTGCGCAGGAAGATACGATTTCTGAGCCATGCAGAAGGTGTCATCTGAAGACGGCAGGAAGCGCGAGAAAGAGAGAAGAGGGAGAGAGGAAGAAACAGAGAAACCAACTCTGAGATGGAGCAGGCCGAGGATGAGGCAAATGCTTGTACCAAAACGTCACGCTCGAATGCTTGCAGCAAAACGTCACGCTCGAACGGGGGCGCTGAACCGAGCGTGGTCAAACATCCGCCACCGCGCCGCGAGGCACGAGTTGGAGTGCTCCCAGGTCCCTTGGAGTCCGCCGTGCTCGGCCATGGCGTTCTTCGAAGCAGCCCGGGACCCCTGCTTCACACTCTTTGAGGCTCCCCGCGTGCCTTCTGGGTCGCGCGTCCCCGCGTGCTTGGCTCGGGGCAGAGAGGGCCCCCAGACAGGCCAGGGGGGCCCCGGGGGACCCTCGACGCAGTCCGCAAGAGGGCCCCGAGTCGCCACAGGACCGCTCCCAGGACGCCCAGGATGGCCGCCCGACGGCCGAAGAGGCCCCAGAGGCGCAGAGAAAGGGCCCCAAGAGCACCCCACAGAGGGAACTGAACTAATGCGGGATGACGATTAAAAATGGGAGAGAACGATTAAAAGCATAGTTTTCTGCTATTTCTACATAACTTTCTGACTGGAGGAGAACGATAAACAATACTTTTCCAGCCCGCGGCCGGTTTTCTCTAATCGTCATCCCGGGCGCCGCCGCGTGAACACGATCCCCGGTCATTTATTATTCGTCATCCTCCATTACCCAAACCATTTATTTCCGTTTGGGGATTTGGAGCATTCTTTGCACTTCTGCGTGTTGGCTTCCTGACGCTCCAAAGACGACCCAAGAGGCACCCAAACTCGCTCCAAGACTGCCGAAGAGTTCCCAGATAGGGCTCGAAGAATGCCCCAAGACGGCCCAAGAGGCTTCCGAGACGATCCAAGAGAGCCCCAAGTGGGACCCAAGAGGGGCCCACGAGTGGGAACGCGAAATCCTGGAGGCGATCCGGGTAGGCGCTCATGCAGAAAGTGGGCCTCACCGGCACGTACGGCCTCGCCTCGTGCATGTCGGCGTCCCCGCGCTCTGACCCGGACGGGCTCCAGGAAGACGGGCTCTGCATCGCAGCATGCGGGAGCTCTCGGTGGCGCATCCTCACCATCGATTCTTCGACGAGCCGCTCAAGGTGGAAAGCAAGGGCCGAAGCGGCTTGAGCCAACATGGCTACGGGGGAGTTTATGAGCCCTCTTAGGCCATCTTCGGGCTCTCTTGCACTGTCAGGGCCTACTTTTTGGTCGTCGTCTTGCAGCGGTCCTCGGTGCCTCTCGGGCGTTCTCGGACGCCTGGGAGACTGAACAATCGAGTGGCCCACACTTATACAAAAACGCATGGGTAATCAACATTGTCTGCGGCTCGACAGCCTCTTGGGAGTGATACTTGGGCCGTCTTCGGGCATCTGGAGGAGTCTTGGCCCGCTTGAGGCCATCTTTCAGGGATGGACAGACCTCCCTTTAGTAAAACGTGGATTAGTGAAAACGACTTCGGGCCCAAACCTGGCGGGCGCAAGCCTGGAAAATAACGGCCGCGGCGCCCTCTCGAAAACCGAAAACGGACAATTCACTAATCGACGTGTCAGGGTAGGAGGTCTATCCACCTCCGAATCTTGGATCGTACCTGGGGTCTCTTGGGACCGCCGCCATCCCCCTGGCACGGCTCTGCAAGGACTTCTAGAGGCCAGGACATCTCGCGGGACCCTCTGATGGGGGCGTTCCGGAGCCCAGAACGCCGAGGGTCCCGATTTGGGGGTGGGGCGGGGGGGAGGGCCCGCAGGATCCCATATTATAGCGATATAGAAGAATATGATCATATACACATCTCTGTATCTATGTATACATGAGATGAGAGCGAGAGAGAGGTATACACATACACATATGCGAGAGATCGCCAGACTGCACTCGTCACGGGACTGGTACACACTCTTACGCAACAGCAATTCATCTGGCAAACTCGGTCCATGTCCTGGTGGCTTTGCTGCTCCCCCTCCGCCTCGTCCTCCTCCTCATCATCACGCCCCTTATCCGCCTCCTGGCCGCCCGAGCCTGCTTCTCTGCCTCGAACTTCCTCCTCCTCCTCCTCCTCCTCCTCCTCCTCCTCCTCCTCCTCCTCCCCCTCCACCTCTTCCTCTCCCTCCTCCAGTCCTCAGTATCTCCCTCTTCCGCCTGTCGCTTCCAGCCACCCCTCCTCGCCGTTGCCTCCCTCGACCCATGGCTGGGGACTGGCAGGGGTGGCGTCCTCTTCTTACGTCCCCGCGGTAGCCCAACATCACCAGCCTCTGCGTAACCTTGGCCTTCAACTCCTTCGTGGCCTGCCGCTGCGGTTGCACCCCATGCCAGGCCAGGAACATCTTACTGCATCGAACGTGACTTGTATCAAACAGTGTCTAGCGAAGAACTGCTGCGCATGCGCTCAAGTTGATACTTGGTGTATGCTCGTTATGTCTAGCCGTCGCGTATCGTTTGACTCAGAATAGCCTGCCTGATTTGTGTGGTCGTATCGCGGAGGGGTTCATGCCGGCGCGTCGGGTACACTTGATGCATGGTGGGAGTTCCCTAGTTGATTCGTGTGCGTGATTGTGCAGTATAGGCTGCACATTCCTGAACATCATTTAGCATGCATGTTCGGGTATGTTAGTTGCGCGTGGTTGTTTGCACTGTAGTTTGAAGCAGTGCTTGGTGCCAATGGTGTGTGATTCATTTTTTTGGCGCTACCAACACATCGGTTACTGTGAGTGAACCCATGGGTATGCCTTCTCATGTCTGAAAATCCTCTAGTATTTCCGTTCCTTCACTCGCACTTGCACTCACGCTCACAAATGCGCGTGCACTCTCTTCTGTTCGCTGATAAGTACGCGAGCTCAAACTCAAAATCACACTCACTCAAACTCCCATTCAAATGTATTCTGAGCATAACACATGGATTCACCGTATCACTCGCACTCGCACGGTCACTCAATCTGGCGGCCAATCTTAACAGCTCTAGCTCTCGCACTCTCGCTCACTCCCACACGCGCACTCCGACGTCTACTCTCACCTGCGCGCTCGTACACTAGAGGCCCCCACGACGCCACAAAAGGCCCCAAAACGGCACCCAAGAGGACCGCGAACTGCATCCCGCGACAGCCCAACGAACATCCTAGAGGCCTGTGGTCTGGGACCCAAAACCCAGGCCCAGTGGCGGGATGAGCCGAAGACCACTGAATCTATTGTATCCCTCCTCCTCTCTCTCCCTCTCTCCCTCTCCCTCCCCCCAGACTCCCGACGTCATGATTGTCATGACGTCGGTCCCCAGAGGTCTCGACCCATTCCCTGGGATGGGTTTCTCGTCCTGAGTCCTTGTTTGACGGCCCCGAGGCCCGGCAAGGGCCCCCAGAGGCCGAAAATAGCAAAAACCTCTCGTCATGATTTTGCTCATGACCCGAGGGGGTCTGTAGAGGCCTCCTACACGGGGTCCGAGTAGATGGGGTCGGAGGATCTCGCAGCATCGCCGATACATCGGAGATGCATCGGCGATGCGTTGGCGGCGTCGGCGATGCGTCGGCGACGTCGGCGTGGAGAAAATTGGGCCCAACATCGAGCCGCATCGCCGATGCATCGCCGATGCGGCGCGATCCTCCGATCCCATCTACTCCGACCCCATGCAGGAAGCCTAGAGCCCACAGATCCGGTGTCGTGATTTCTTCAATGCGGGGTCCCTGGAAGTCTCGACCCATTCCCCAGGACCGGTTTCTCGTCCTGAGTCGCTTTCTGACGGTCCCGAGGCCAAGCGAGGGCCTCGAGAGGTCGAAAGCGGCGAAAAACCTCCGCCTTGATTGTTTCAGTGCGCTGGATCCCTGGGAGTCTGGGCCTCTCCCTCCCTCGTGGACAACCTTCGGGGTACTTCTGACCCAGGTCAATGCAGACCCGGGTCAATCAGGCCTTGCAGAATCCTGCAAGATCCTGCACCCAAACCCGGGTCAACGCGAAGGATCCTGCAAGATCCCGCAGGCTCCTGCCCCCAAACCAGGGTCCCTGCGACCCTGGCCCTGCAGGATCCCGCAAGATCGGGCGCTCTGGCTGACCCCCCTTTGCATTGACCCCCACCTCAAGGCTGCCGATTTGGACGCCCGAAATGGGTACGGGAAAAAATGGGTACAATGCCCAACAACAACTGTTGTCCCAAACCAACAGCAGCCGCTGTTGGGCAGGCGGCCTTCTGTCTCAAATAGACACAGGCCGCGGCGGCGCGGACAGCGAGTCCTGTTCAAAAGGAACAGGAGCTGCTGTTGGGCATTGTACCCATTCTTTCCGTGCCCATCTCGTTCGTGCAGACCCGATGCCTCGGCACCCTCGAGCCGCCGCTCCCCGCCGGGCGTGCCTTCGCCGGGCCCGCCCCGATCTCGAGGCCCAGCGCGGCCGCGAAGCCGCCCACGCCGCCGGCCTGCGGCAGGGACGCGTGGGCGGCGGGGCCGTACGGGCGAGGTGGGCGGCCCGGCGGCCGGGCGAGGGGAGAGGCGCAGAGGACCCTGACCTTCCAGGAGGGATAAACAATAACACCCGACTCAAAAACCTACCCCAAAGCTATTCTACGTCTTGGTCTTAGGCCGTTTCGCTAAGTTGTGCAGGTTGTTAGGCCTCCAGTGCTAAAAAATAGCTCTCTGGAAGGTCAGGGGAGGAGCACGAGGCACCCCAGAGGTCCTAAGTGCGCCTCGAAGAAGAGGCCCAGGTTCTCGCAGCTCCCGGCCCCTATAACCTAGAGGGGCCCTCGCCGAGCCCCGGGGCCGTGAGGCAACGACGCGGGACGCAAACCTGGCCCCGGGGGGGGGGCCGAGGCCCCCGGGGGGCCCCGCAGGGCACAGCAGTCCCGACAGCAGATCTCTGGGCATACGACGACGGGCGGCTGGGGGGCCACGGGGGGGACGGACGCAGGGCGAGGGGGGGGGGGGGAGGGCACGGACGAGGGCCGGACGAGCCTCCGACCCGAGGGCCAGGCATGGGGTCGGGCAGGTCCCCCTGCAGGCGGATCTTGGGCGAAAGCTGGAACATGGCCGAAACATGTTCCAACATGCCACCCCCCAAAAAAGTCCACTGACGATTTTTCTACTATCTTTTAAGGCTCCTCCTGTAGAGGGACAGGGACAGGCCCAAATTAAGGCTAGCAGGGCCAGGTCCACGTCCCCACCTGAGTGGGAGGCGGCACGGGGTGGTGTCCGACCAGGCTGAAGACTGCGAGGCCAAAGACAAGCAGTAGGATAAGATGTGGAGGAAAGGGGGGAACGAGGGGGACGAGGAACGACGACGCGCGAGGGGGACAAGGGGGACGAGGGACGAGGAGGAAAGGGACGCACGACGGCTGGACGATGCGGGGGGGACGGCGGGAAGGAAAGGAGCGAGAAGAGGAGTAAGCGGAGGAGAAGCGGTCAATGTGCGAGAGGCTGTGGTGTTGTCTGCAGTACTCCTTCCGCCGTCCAAATCTCCAGATGCAATTCCTCCTGATCGACATTTCCAGCTTCCTCCTCTCTGATCCTCCGCTGTCCTCCCTCCCCTCCCTTCCCCAACCCCTTCGCCATCCCCTCTCCCTCTGTCCCCCCGCTCGCTCTCTGGGACACGCAACAGGCTAACTCTACCCCCTTTCACAGGTTCACGACGACATGGCGGAGGCTAGACTTCCAGGCCCACCAGAGGCTGATGAGGAGCACGAGTGTGTAGTGCTTTTCTTGGTGGCTCGCAAGGGGTGTCGGACCCTCCCCTCCCGCCCGTCCCTGTGCCGCTAGCGCCCGAAGTCTTGGAGCGCATCGCGCAAAACCGCGCGCAAGCACGTGTCAGAAGAGCCGCTAAACTCCAGGAGGCGAGAGAGGCTCGCTTGCGTGAGGTAGCCCCGTGGGCCCGTGATCCGAACTTTGGCAGAGGCTTGTTCGGATAAGTTGCTGCCTGTCAATTATCAAGAGATGATGGGGGCTATGTTTGTGGGGAGTGGTCGGGTGGTGGTCGGAACAGTGAGATGTTGTCGCTTCCATGCAGCCGCTCGCAGCCGCTTTCTCTGTGCGCTTCCCCCGTGCTTGCCTTGCTTTGTGATGTCGATGTCCTTCCTTACACGTCGACGGCATGGTGACGTAGGACCGATGCCATTGCTCTCTCTCTATATATTGGTGATGCTCTCTCTCTCTGATTAAGTTACGCCAGACACTTTTTTTAGGCACACCGCTCTTCCTTGTGATCAGTGTGCGCTGGTCGTGACTGAAGCGTTGGTGTTTGGTGCAGACAGAGGCCACATGTCGAGCGTGCGAATATCGTGCACTCCCGATGGCCCATGACCTGTACAAACCCATGCTACTGGTGTTAGGCCCTCCGCAGGCCCATCTCACCGGCTCCCCTACTTGTTATGCCTCCTCTTGCCCCCTCCCTTCTCCTGCAGCGTTGTGTTGCGACATGTGCGCTGTATGACGATAAGGGTGGGGGGTGGTATGGGTATGGTCGGGCGGAGCATTTACACCTTGGCGCCCGTGCTGCTAGATACCGCGTGTTTCTGCCAGAAGCTAGTGGGTGCCGCACTAAGCTGACTGCCTCCTCGGCGAATCAGAGCGCAATTCCAAATTCCCTTGGGAAACCCTGACCAACAGATACTAGTACTGCTACTTCCCAGACCTCTTTTGGCGCGCGCTCTGACCAAAATTTCGAGGCGAATCCAGCGGTGGCAACGAGGGCCTCCCAGGAGACCCCGAAAGGCGAAAACGAGGCGAGGGTAGCGGTACTGGTGCCTTGTTTCTTGGAGGCCTGGAAGTGGGCACCAGCATCAAAACAGGGGGGTGCCCCCACCAGGGGGAGACGATCCAAGATTCTGGTGCTGGTGGTTACCTTCCGGCCACCTAGGACACACGAGCATTACGCCCATCACCGAGCTCGCGATCATCTTCCCTCGGTGGATCCACACAGCCGACATTGGTGTTGGTGTCGACCTCGTGGCTTCCAACATGGGGGCGGAGGATCGCGCCGCATCGCCGATGCATCGCCGCTGCGGCCCAGTGGAGAGTTAGATACTCTCCACGCCGACGGCGCCGAGGCGTCGCCGACGCGGCGGCCGACGCATCGCCGAGGCATCGGCGAGGCACTGGCGACGCGGCGCAGTCCTCCGACGCCACCTGCTCGGACCCCACTTGGGAGACCTGTGCCCACCTCCCTCGGCCTCCCCCTCCCTCTCCGCCCCCCGCACCCCCCGCCCCTCCCCCCCGCCTCCCTCCAATTCCCTCTCCCCCCTCCGCCCACCTTCCTCGCCCACCTCCCCCCCTCCCCCCCCCCCTCCGCCCACCTCGCCCCCCCCCACTCTGGGGAAACCACGAGGTACGGATACGGCTACTGCCCGGACCTCTCCTCGGGTGCGTTCTGGCCTGAATTCCGTGGCAAATCCAGCGGTGGCGACGAGGGCCGCCGAGGAGGCCTGAAAAAAAGGAAAACGAGCGACGGGTAGAGAGATATGGGTAAGTACCTGTTCCCCCTCGGACCCCCGCCCGCCTCCGCCCGCCCCCCCCCCCTTCCCGAAGGCGGCCGCCTCTTCGAAACCGCTCCCCTCCTCGAGGCTCGCGGCGCAGGCGGGCGCGCGCCCCTCCTTCTGCGCGGCCGGGTCCAGGCTGCGCGGCGCGGGGGGGGCGGCGGGGCGCTCGCGAGGCGGACGCCCAAGCTGGCACCCTCGCCCGCGGGATCCCGAGCTTTTTGTTGGTTGTTGCTGTTGCTGCTGTTGCTGGTGCTGCTCTTGTGGCTGCTGCAATCTCACTACTGAAGGACAATCATTGCTGATCCCCCTCCTTCCGGTCGAAGTACTTCCCCCGGGCTTCCCAACCTGATTCTTGTATAGTGGGGAAAAAACTAAGCTCAAACTGCGTCGTCGCCCCCCGGATTACAACAACAACAACAACAACAACAACAACAACAACAACAACAACAACAACAACAACAACAACAATCATTTTAATACTGTTCGCCCTTATATGCTCGATTGTCCAAGACGCGTGTTTCCCAAACCCTCGATACCCGCCCTCTTCGTCTTCGATCGAACCTTTAGGGGGTAGACCTTTCTTCCCTGCAGGCCAGGCCCCGGCAAGCGGCGGGGCGGCCGCGGACCGTCGGCCTGGCCAGCGGCAGCGCTGATCGGCGGGGCGGCCGCGGACCGTCGACCCGACCCCAAGAGGGACGGACAGGGGACCGACCACGACGACGACGACGACGACGACGTCGAAGACGACGGCGACGACGAGCGAAAGCGAGAGCGAGAGAGAACGACAGCAGGGCCACGAAGACGAAGGGCACGAATTAGGCCACGAAGGGCGGCAGCGGGGACACGAAGGGAATGCGTATGGGGCCACGAAGAGTGCGAGCGAGCGGGGGCCACGAAGTGCAGATAATGCGGGGCCACAGAAAGCAACTATGGGGCCACTGAGGGTAGCAACTGGGCCACGTAGGACAATGAGGGGGACACAAATCGCGACAGCGGGGCCACGAAGGGCAGGCACATGGGGCCACAACGGGCGCGACTCCTGGGTGCCTGGGTGTCGGGGGCGCGGCGCTTGGGCAAATTGCAAGAAATTCCAACGCAAGGCTATTCTTCAGTAAGTTGCAAGCAAGTCTCCAGCGAGTTCGCGACTCCAGAGCGCAGGGAGAGCGATTCCTGAATACATTCTGAGGAAGTCCCAAGCGAGAGCGCGATTCCTGAATAAAACGCGAGGAAGTCTCGGGCGGGAGCGGGGGTCTTGGCTAAATTATAAGGAAGTCTCGGACGGGAGCCATTGTTGTTGTAACCCGGGGGCCAGGGGGGCAGTTTGAGCAGGAAGACTTTCCCTGTCAAAAAACAGGGTGTGAGCGTCGAGGGACACATTTTGATTAAGAAAAAACAGTATGCACCGGTGGGGGGGATCAACAATAATTACTCTTCAGGAATAAGAATTCAACAACAATCAGTTTGAGACGGTTCGCTCTTACCTGCTCGGGTGTTCAAGAACGCGTATTTTCCCGAACCCTCGATGCCCGCCCTTTTTGTCTTCACGCGTGCCCCTTTTGGGGGGTATACCTTTCTTCCCTGCAGGCCGGGCCCCGGCAAGCGGCTGGGCGGCCGCGGACCGTCGGCCTGGCCAGCGGCAGCGATGATAGGCGGCAGCCCGACCCCAAGAGGGACGGACAGGGGACCGACCACGACGACGACGACGACGACGACGACGACGGCGACGACGACGACGACGACGGCGACGGCGACGGCGAGAGAACGACAGCAGGGCCACGAAGGGCACGAAGCAGGCCACGAAGGACGACAGCGGGGACACGAAGGGAATGCGTATGGGGCCACGAAGAACGCGAACGAGCGGTTGCCACGAAGGGCGGAAAATGCGGGGCCACAGAAAGCAACGATGGGGCCACTGAGGTAGCAACTGGGCCACGTCGGACAGCGAGGGGGCCACGAAGGGAGACAACGAGGCCACGAAAGGCATACATATGGGGGGCCACGACGGGCGCGAACAAGCGGGGGCCACGAACGGCATACATATTTGGGGCCACGAACGGCAGAGAGGGGGCCACGAAGGGCTGCAACGGGGCCACGAAAGGCAGCGAGGGGGCCACGAAGGGAGACAACGGGGCCACGAAGGGCAACGAGGGGGCCACGAGGGGTTGCAACGGGGCCACGAGGGGCTGCAACGGGGCCACGAAGGGTTGCAACGGGGTCACGAAGGGCAGCGAGGGGGCCACGAAAAGGGTCCAACGGGGCCACGAAGCGCAGCGAGTGGGCCACGAAGGGTAGCGAGGGGGCCACGAAGGGCTGCAACGGGGCCACGAAACAAAGCGTGGGGGCCACGAAAGGCTGCAACGGGGCCACAAAGGGTAGCGGGGGGGGGCCGAAGGGGTGCGACGGGGCCACGAAACAAAACGAGGGGGCCACGAAGGGCTGCAACGGGACCACGACGGGCAGCGGGGGGGGGGGCACAAATGGCTGCAGCGGGGCCACGAAGGGCAGCGAGATCCCGATTCCTAAGTAAGCTGTGAGGGAGTCCTATGCGTGAGCGCGACTCCTGGGTGCCTGAGTGTCGGGAGCGCGGCGCTTGAGCAAATTACGGGAAATTGCAGCGCAAGGGCGCTATTCTTGGGCAGATTGCAAGCAAGTCCCCAGCGAGAGCGCGACTCCAGAGCACAGAGAAAACGATTCCTAAATCAAGTGTACGGAAGTCCCAAGCGAGAGCGCGACTCCTGCATAACATGCGAGGAAACCCCGGGCGGGAGCAAGGGTCCTGGCTAAATTGTGAGAAGTCTCGGGCGGAAGATGTTGTTGCTGGTGTTGTTGAATTAGGGCGGGGGCCAACAACACACTTTGAGGAGGAAGATTTTCCCTGATAAAAAATCTGGGTGCGAGCGCTGAGAGGGGCACTTCACTTGAACAACTAGAATGTGCACGGGAAAAAGGGGTGATAAACAACAACTGTTCTTCAGTGGGAATTCAATAACAACAGCGGTTCCTACCCGAGACGTCCTCGCAATTTAGCCTCTAGCCAGGACCCCCGCTCTCGCCTGAGACTGTCTCGCATTGTACTCAAGAGTCGGGCTCTCGCTTGGGACTTCCTTACACATTATTCAAGAATCGTTCTCTCAGCGCTCTGGAATCGCGCTTTCGCTGGAGACTTGCTTGTGATTTACTCAAGAATTGCGCTCTTGCGTTGGAGCTCTCAGCAATTTGCTCAAGCGCCGCGCTCCCGACACTCAGGCGCCCAGGAGTCGCACTCACGCTTAGGACTCCTTCACAACTTACTTAGGAATCGGGATCTCGCTGCCCTTCGAGGCCCCGTTGCAGCCCTTCGTGGCCACCTCGTTCCCCCTCGGGGACCCGTTGAACCCCTTCGTGGCCCCCTCTCTGCCCTACGTGGGCCCATTGAAGCCCTTCGTGGCCCCCTCGCTGCCCTTCGTGGGCCCGTTGCAACCCCTTGCGACCCCCTATCGCTGCCCTTCGTGGCCCCGTTGTACCCCTTCGTGGCCCCCTCGCTGCCCTTCGTGACCCCGTTGCAACCCTTCGTGGCCCCCTCGTTGCCTTTAGTGGCCCCATATATGTATGCCGTTCGTGCCCCCCGCTCGTTCGCGCCCGTCGTGGCCCCATGCGCATGGCCCCCTGGCTGCCCTTCGTGGCCCCGTCGCTACCCAGAGTGGTCTTTGCCCTCTGCGGCCCAATATGCGCATGCCCTTCGTGGCCCCCACTCGTTCGCGCCCTTCGCGGCCCCATGCGCGTGCCCTTCGTGGTCCCGCTGTCGTCCTTCGCGGCCCCTTCGCTGTCCTACGTGGCCCCGTTGCTACCCTCAGTGGCCGCGTCGCTGCCCTCAGCGGCCCCGCGTCATCTGCCATTCGTGGCCCCCGCTCGTTCGCGACCTTCGCGGCCCCGCAGGCACGCCCTTCGTGGCCCTGCTGTCGCCCTTCGTGGCCCCCTTCCTGCCCTTCTTGGCCCCGCTGTCGTTCTCACTCTCGCTCTCGCTTTCGCTCGTCGTCGCCGCCGTCGTCGTCGTCGTCGTCGTCGTCGTCGACTTCGTCGTCGTCGTCGTGGTCGGTCCCCTGTCCGTCCCTCTTGGGGTCAGGCTGCCGCCTATCAGCGCTGCCGCTGGCCAGGCCGACGGTCCGCGGCCGCCCCGCCGCTTGCCGGGGCCCGGCCTGCAGGGAAGAAAGGTATACCCCCCAAAAAGGGTACGAGTGAAGACGAAGAGGGCTGGCATCGAGGGTTTAGGGGAATACACGTTGAATGTAATTCGAGCTGAAAAGAGCGAGCATCCTTAAAATGATTCTAGCATGCTAATTACTAAACAATTTTTATTGTTGGACCCCTTAAAGGCGCCCTGGCGCTCTCGCCGCAACGGCGGCCACATTTTCATTGAAAATGAAGCTCACGCTCGAGCGGCTTGGGAGACCGCCAAAACCGGCCCCCCAATAACAACAACTCTTCCGCTCGAGACTTCCTCCTTTGTTACTCAAGGCTGGTGTTATTGCTCGCCGCCGAAAGCCGCCGTCCTAACAAAACCTGCGCTCCCGCTCGAGACTACCTCCCGTTTTACCTTGGATTGGCGCGCTAGTCTTTCTCTCATCGGCGCCGCCCCCAGCAAAAACAACGCTCCCGCTCGAGGCCTCCTTCTTTTTTTACTCTAGCCGGTGCTCCTCCACGCCGCCGAAAGCCGCCGCCCCGACAAAACCAGCGCTCCCGCCCGAGACTTCCTTCAGTTATACGCTGGACTGGCGCCCAACTCTCTTTCGAATTGGCGCCGCCCCCAGCAAGAACAACGCTCCCGCTCGAGGCTTCCTCACTTTTTCCCGAAAACGGTGCTGTTCCTCGCCGCCGACAACCCCCGGCCCGATAAAACCACGGCTCCCGCTCGATGTTTCCTACCTTCTTACTCAAGGCGGTGTTCCTCCTCGCCGCCGAAAGCCGCCGCCCCGACAAAACCAGCGCTCCCGCCCGAGACTTCCTTCAGTTTTACGCTGGGCTGACGCCCTACTCTCTTTCGAATTGGCGCCGCCCCCAGCAAGAACAACGCTTCCGCTCGAGATTTCCGTTCTTTCTCCTCGGGGCGGTGCTGTTCCTCGCCGCAGACAGTCCCCGTCCCGATAAAGCCACGGCTCCCGCTCGATGCTTCCTCCTTTCTTACTCAAGGCGGTGTTCCTCTTCGCCGCTGAAAGCCGCCGTCCCGACAAAACCAGCGCTCCCGCTCAAGACTTCGTCTTGTTCAACGCTGGACTGGCGCCCTACTCTCTTCAGCATTGGCGCCGCTCTCAGCAACAACAGCAGCTCTGCTCGAGACTTCCTCCCTTTCTATTCAGTGATAGGTCCATACCTCACCGCCGACAGCCCCCATCCCCACCAAAGCAATCCTGTCGTTCGATACTTCCTTGTGGTTTACCCTTCGCTGAGGTTCAACTGGCGGTCTCGCATCGGCGCAGCGAGGCGTGGGCATGTGTTTTCGAGGCGGGGTATGTTGAAATTCCTCGGATAATGTGTTTACAAGACCTCATTGGGCGGGATATCTGGGAATGGGACTAATGGGCCCCGCTATAGAACAAGAGTCCCCCATCATGTGGACGGTTATCATGATGGTCGCATGCTTCGTGTGGAAACATCGAGCATGAGGGTAAACTGATTGTTGTCGTTGATGTTGTTGTTGTTGGTGGTGGAGGTGTTGTTGCTGGTGTTGTTGATGCTGATGCTGATGCTGTTGCTGTTGTTGTTGTTGTTGTTGTTGTTGGTGGTGGTGGTGGTGGTGGTGTTGGTGTTGGTGTTGTTGCTGTTGTTGTTGATGCAGTGCTCTTTGTTGGTGTTGCTACTGTGGTGGCTACTGCACGTGCTTGCGAGTCGACGCTACTCGACGCCAATCGACTCTAAGTCGACGCTGAACGACTCGAATCGACGCTGAATCCGCCGACACTGTCGGCGTGTGGGAGGTGATTGTCCGTTCGAATCGTCCTCACCATTGTCTGTGAATCGTCGTCTCTGCCGGCTCATTTCCCTGCGGTCCCCATTTCCCTGGGCCGTCGCCGCTTTTCCTGGGCCCTCCTCCCCAGGCCGAACTTGAGTACCGTCGTAATTCAATTGAAGGGAAGCCCCCTCTCATTGATCCCTCTCCCGATTTCAATTAATCGGACAGAAACCCCCTCCCGTTGATCCCTCCCCCGTCGGGGGAGAGGGTCCTGGGCGGGGTCCCGGAGGGTCCAGGGTGCAATGGTCCCGCTTAGAACCACTGCCCTGATCGTAGTCCTTGTTGATACTACTCTCTTCTCTCTTCTGACACGTGCCGAAAGTACTGTCGGTGTTCGGGTCGAATCTGAGGGCAGTGCTGGTGCGAGGCTGCTCGCACTGTGGTGATGAACAGGATCTGTTTGTCAGCGGGCAGTTCGCTGTCCTGCGTCTCTAGGACGCACACCAGGAGTCCAGCGTCGCTGAGACGCTGCAAAAGCTTGAGCCAGAACGGTTTCGGATGAACCTGTTCTGGGATATTATAATGGGGATCTCGAGGGATCTCGGAGGGCCTACTGAGCAAGGCTAGCTGCAGTCTGGAGGCTAAAGAGGGCCCGATTCGCCGGGAAACGCTTGGCTAACATACATGGGGCTCCTTTGGAGCCTGAAGCATATATCACGCACGGCCTCTAGAGGCCATCTGTCGTAAGTAGGCTCTAGTGAGGCAGGCTCGGGGCTGTGAATTGCATGCCCAAAAGCTAAAGATCGATGTTACGGCATCGAGACCTGCCTCTGGCCACTGAATTCACAGAAAGCACAGAGCGCGTGAGAGGCTTCACAGTGTCCCAAAGAGCCATATCTCCGGCAGGGGTCTCCTGCTCGTAGGGATTGTCGCGAGCGAAGTAGATCAGGGCCTCCAGCATAGCTTCATCGTCGTCTGCAGATAACGGCTTGCCGATCCAGCCTGTCCATGCCCTCGGTCTTGCGCTTCCGGGCACTGCGGTGCAGTGGGTCGTCCACGAGTCTCCAGCGCTGACCTGACCGAAAGAACTCCAGCAAGACCTTGGCGGCTCGATCCTTGGTGAGGCCGTCGGCTAGCATGGCATCGCTGTGGACCCAGCGTATCTGGAGGGCCGTCTGCTCCTTCTGCTGTCGAATGCCTAGACACTCGATGCTCGTCCGCTTGTCACGTAGGCCGAGACCAGCTGACTCGCTCTTCTCGATCGCGTCGTAGCCTGACTTACCGTCTGTGACCAGTACGCCAGGGCAGGATGAGATGGCGTCGTTCACGTGTTGCTTGTTGGTGTAGTCCACTTGGCCGCACTCTAACTCATAGATGAACAGGCGCACGTAGCTGATCTCGTCGAGGGTCTCTGTCATCATCTGAACCTCCGCACTCGTACTGCTTCTGGCCACTCGCGGTAGCTTGCATGATCTCCATGAGATAGGCGCTACCGTCTCTGTCGAGCCACTCAGGAAAGACAGTGGTGCCAGCACGATCATCTCGCCACCCTGGGACTCGCCAGTAATACGAGCGGCCCAGGCAGCATCGCCCCAGCCAACCACAGCTATCTGCTCGATGGCCGGGATGAGCATGACTACGTCAGCAGTGTCATTCATGGTGCGGATCAGCTTGTTGATCTTCTGGATGGTAGAGACCGTCGCCGTAGGTATCTCCGCTTGGAGTAGAGAGACTTCTGCACTGAGCCACGGGGCCGACTGCTGAGCTCGCCATCCGACTGTACCAAGTCGGCCTCGTAGATCTGATCTCTCTTTGTCTGAAACTCCTTCCGTGGGCTTGCGTCCACGTCGTATCTTGATGGGCTCCACGTTCAGGCTGTAGCTGTCCTGTGCGAGACTGCAGGTGTAGTCCTCGTTCTGTCGAATACTGATGCCGCACTGCACAAACGCTCGGCTCTCCCAAGGTGTCCACTCGAAGGCCTGTTGTATCTGCTGTCGTTTCTTGAGGAATGCCGAGTTGTGATGGTCGCCGGCGATCATCATGTCGTCGACGTGTAGGATAACCATGCCAACCAGCTTCGTGCCGTCTCGAATGACCCAGACGCACGGCTCGCACTGTATCACTTCCAGCTGCAGCGTCTTGAGCGTGTCCTTGAAATGGAGCCACCATTTGCGAGGAGCATGTACAAATCCGTACATAGGCTTGAGGAACTGCAGGACCTCGTCGTCTTTCATGCCGAAGGCCTGACGCACGTCCTTGGGCGGGTCCGCGTAGATCTTCCTCTTCTCCTCGTCCGTCTCGCCCTGGAGAAAGGCTGTCACTGCATCGGCCTTCTCCAGTTTCCACTTGTGTCTGGCTGCCATGGCCAGTAGAAGTTGACGTGCACGTCTGGAGGCAACGGGTGATTCTGTCCGTAGGTGCAGCAGGTCGGGATCGCTGAAACCGAGCACGACCAGTCTGGCTTTGCCTCGTAGTACGTTCCCCTGGTCATCCTTCTTCCAGGTCAGCACGAAGCGACAGCGCAGCAGGCGCGCCGGGTCGATCCCCTGTCGGCTGAGGATCCTGACGGCTTTCGTGCTGAGGACTGAGGTGCACTCCTTCTGCTGGGCCTCGAGTAGCAGCTTCTTCTCCTCAGGCGTCGCCTTCTTAAATGAGACCTCCACTCGGCCCTTGCGGGCCTGCGATGCCACGAAGTTGCTGGGATCGTCCATGTAGGCCATGAACGCATGCTCGTTGCTGACAGGGATATCCAGCACGATAAGTTCGTCGTTCTCCTTCATATCGTCGTACTGCTGGACACTGTAGGCATAGTCGCTGTAGAAGTTGCCCTCCTGTAGGTAGTAGGAGAAGGCCTCCTGGGTCGCAGCGTTGACCCGCTGCTTCTTAGCCGGGGGCTCGGTGGTGCCGGGCTCTCGGATCCGGCGCTTATCGTTCATGTCGGGCGCTGAGATATCGTCAAGGTCATCGTCAGTCTCCGCCACGATGGGCCGCTGCGACGCGCGCTCCTCCTGGTCGTCGCCAGGAGGGGCTTCCATGACGATCTCCTCCTCGATGGGCTGCTCAGCTGCCTCGGGTAGTCCAGCTTCGTGGCCGCCTTCCTGTGGAATGCCTGGGGGAGCTTCAGGCTGAGCTGGCTGGATGAGAGGTTCCTGGACCTCGGTTGCCTCGTTCCAGGGATTGCCCTTCTTCCTCATACGTCGGGGAGGTCGTGGTCCAGGTAGAGGTCGCTCTTCCAGTCCTGGTGGCGCCGCCAAGGCTCCGCCACCTCCGCTGCCTCCGCCACCTCCTGGGTCAAGACTACGAGGATCTCCTTGTGGTACAGGACGATCCTCGTCTTCAGAAATGGCCCAGGGTCCGCTCGCGTTGCTCTCGAAGGTGCGGGCGCTGACCGATTCACCGTCATCAGCGGCCAAATCCTCGCCAGTGGGCGGGGGCTCGTTCGATAAGTCGATCACTTCATTCGTGTCGAGCTGCTTCTGGACATCGCCGAAGGTCCAGGTCCCCGGCTGCTCGCGGCGCGAGCGTAGGGAGTCCATCGCCTCCTCAGAAGGCGTGGCAGGTCGAAGTTGTTCTGGAGCAACTCGGTAGAGGCGGCCAGCCAGTGTGATATTGACCACCGTTCCAGGTAGACCAGGTCGGTGTCCCGAGCTCGCTGGCTCGTGACAAAGTACTCTTCCAGGTCCGTACCAGCGTCCTCGCCCAGGCATTGAGCGAGGCTGTCCCTTCTTACGCCAGGCCCCTGGTGGGAGCCGTCGGTAGACGAAAACCAGATCGCCCGTCTCGTACTTCTTGAAGGACCTGAAGCGCGCGGCCTCCGCTCGCTTGACTCGGTCGGAGTTCTCGGTCTGGATGTGAGCCAGCCGCGCCATTCGTCGTACATGGGCGTCCCTGCTGAAGGTACCGTCCTGCAGCTCGGCACTGATGAGCGGCAGGTTGTTTGGCTCGTCCGACAGATTGACTGTCGTCCCAGTCGGCGTCCGTCCCGCATAGCGCTGCAGCGGGCTGAACCCGTCGATCCTGATCAGGTCGTTCCTGGCCGCCGTCTGGAGTCCGAACATCTCGCTGGTGGGTACTTCGGCTGAGACCATCTCGTCGAAAGCGTCGAGGGCCTCCTTGAAGGCTTCAATGGCACGCTCGATCTTGCCGATCTGCCAGTGAGCGTCGGCCGCGCATGGGAGACAGTAGACTCCCTGGCTCTCGATCCACTCGCGGAACTCGTCGGAGATGGCGCTGCCGGCAGGGTCGTAGCGCATGACCTTCGGGCGTCCCATCCAGGGGAACCATTTTGTAGCAAAGATATGCCGAAGGTCGCCTGCACGAACTTGCCGGGTAGTACCTGGGATCGGCTTCTCGTCGATCAGCCGCACGTAGAGGATGTCCGAGCCGGCGTCGAGTATCGCCAGCGCCATCACGTTCGTGTTCGTGCTGCGACGGATCCACGACAAAGCGTCAAAAAGCACCTCGTGACCGTTTTGGGGCTGCTCTGCTGATGAGGCTGGTGGCCGCTTAGTAGGTGGTCGATGTGCGTCACAGATGTCGCACTTGAAGGTTCTGGCCAAACGTAGCACCTCTGGCCGGGCGCCACGGTCGCGAAGGTATCGTAGTAGATGAGCTCGAGGTAGGTGTCCGAGGTTGGTATGAACCAATCTGATGTAGCTCTCGAGCTTCTTGACCGTCTCGTTGGTGAGGTTGTGCGCTTCCTTGCCGTCTCGTGGTGGGAGAGTCGGCTCGTCCTCCTCTGGCGTAGGCTCTGTCGGTGGCTGCTGGGTAGCTGCCATGCAGAGGCAGTTCACAACCTCGTCCTCGAAGTAGTTCTGGTTCTGGCTCTTGGTCAGAGCCCTGAGGATCCGGCGGCACAGCATCTTGGGGTAGGAGCCCGAGGCCTCGGTCCTCAAGCTGCTCTCTATCTCCTCGTGGTAGTGTCCTCCACGGCACTGTAGAGGTTGTAGAGCTACCCAGATCCTCCTGTCATTCGTCAAGAACTTCCAGCGCTTCTTCATGAGCTCGCCCGTGTCAGGGGCTCGTAGTCCGCAGGCGCAGCCATCCACGATCACCTCGTACGGTAGGATCTTGTGGAGATCCTTCCAGCAGGTCTTCTGCCACGAACGACTGTTGTGGGGCTGCTCGGCGAGGGCCGAGCCGTTCAGATTGAGCACCTGGTGCTCGATGAGCCTCTTGTTGTTCTCGAAGATCCGCTGGCTCTTGAGCCGCTTCCTGCGAAGGTTTTCCTTCTGTTGATCGTTGCGCTGGTTGACGTTCTGCATTATCGACCATGGACCGCAGGGTGGTGTACTGACGAAGAGCTCCGGGCGCTTCTCGTCTAGCAGGAACTTCGCCTTGTGGTAGCCCTGCGGCTTGCTGAGGTCGTTCTCGTTGAAGAGGCCGAGCCGCTCGTAGTGGTAGCCCTTCTCGTCGCACACCTTCCCGAGATTCGAGTCCTCGTGGGTGCACGCTTCGACCATCGTCAGGCGGCCGAAGGTTGCGAGGGCGCACATGGCTCCAAAAATGGCCGACCTCGTCGTATGTGTAGCTGCCCGTATCGCCTGGCGCTGGTGGCCCTTCAGCGGCCTGCTCTCGTCGCCGCGCCACCGAGACCTCTCAGCCTGAATCTCACTCAGGCCCTCGTCCTGACCGCACACGCCTGGTGGCACCAACCGTAGAGCCTCATCTTCACGATCGGCTCGTTCTTGGCGATGCCTCGGCGTAGCTTGCAGTCCGGGTGCTGGCACATCTGAGTGTAGTGAGCTGAGATCGCCGGGCCCACGGGCATTGCCGTCGTCTCCATCTTCTTGGTCTCCATCTCCTTCTTGATCTGGATAGTCGCTGCCGCCGTGCCGCGCTGCTCGATGATGTACGCGATGAGCTTGTCGATCACCTCCTCCTTCTTGCCAGTCTGGGTCAGTCCCCACATCTTGCACAGCGGCTTGAGGTGATTGATCAACGTAACCATGCTGAGCTGCTCGTGGATCTGCTCCGAGCTCAGTGCTGCGAACGCATCCACCTCCGCAAACTTGGTCAAGAAATCTAACTTTGCGGTCTCGATGGTGGCTCGCAGCTCTTGATTCTGCTCGCGCGCGGCTGCTGAGGCTGCTGACTTCTGGGACAGGGGGCGCGGCTTCGGCTCCGTGCACGGCTGGCGCGGCTCGATCTTCGCACGATGCTCGATGTCCGCCGGCCAGGTCGGGTACCTCTCGGGTAGCAACTGCACAGGTAGTCCGAGGCTGTCCAGTTTCCAGTTCACACGATCGATCGTCTTGATGAAAACCTTCTGGATGATTCGTCCCCAGCGACGGCACTGCGTCCACTGCTGGAGAAGCTTGCTGGACCACATCTCCCAGTTCGGTAGGTGCTCCTGCAGGAAGGTGTCCGTCATCCGCTTCGTGCTTTTGTCCTGCTCCGAGCCCTCGATCGTGTAGAAGATGTGGCCCCTCGCGTCCTGATGAGCGATCAGTCGCCCCTGCGGCTGCATCCGTGGTAGTGTGGGCCGTGCCGGCGTCGACGTGGAGGTCGCCGCCGATGATCCCGAGTCCCGTAGCGAGGCCCGAACATCCACCTGCTCCCAAGGGCCGTCCATCTCCTCGTTCTCCAGCTTGATCTGCTGGCTCTCTGCTTTGCGACATTTCGCCTCGCGGTTGAGGCTCATGCGAAAATGTAGGGCCAACTGGATGTTGTCGGAGCTCAGGGCTCGAATATGGACGTATTACTGGTTGCTGAAATCGGAGCTCTGAGCTCGAATCGTTCGCACCAAAAATGGCTCTGGGAGACGGGGATGTTTCTGTTTGGAGCTCTGGAAACTCTGGGATCTCAGGGAAGGCCTCTGGAGATAACTCCGATAATGCTGTAGGTGATGGAGCCGGGGCTGATACGGATGATGTCCCGGACGTAAGTGATGATGTCCCCGACGTAATCAATGATGTCCCCGTACTGGTAAATGATGATGATGTTGCTGTACGCGTAATTGGTGATGGTGCCCCCGTACTCGTAAATGATGATGATGTACATGAGGCCTGTAGGGCTCCATTATCTGGGACCTCGTCGGGGAACTCCTGGGGCACCACTGCAGACGGTTTATCGTTCTCGCTTTGGATCGGCTGCTCTTTTTCATGTTTTCCCTCCGGCACCGTAGCAGTCTCGGGTGTCGAGGGCGTGGACCCCTACTCGAGAGATGCCACGAAGCCAAAATCGGCTTGTCGAACAAGGGGCAGTGCAAGATGACCGCTCGGAAGGACGAGCAGTTCAGCTCGGCGCCCGAGCTTCTTGAAGTAGACAGAATGTGCCTCGCAGTCGATCACAGCTCCTAGGCGGCTCAAAACATCCACTCCGATCAAGAGCGGGGCATCTGCGTCGAGGATGTTTATCTCGAGCTCGCCGTCCACACCGGCGATCATCAGAGGAAAGGTTGCCTTGCCGGTGCAGGTCTTGGCGTTGCCGTCTCCAAAGATAAAGGTACTCTTCTGGCTAACGTCCATCTTGATGTTCTTGCCCGTCTGCTCATAGATGATATCGCGTAGGTTCTCGGCGGCCTCGATGCCCATGATGCTGGAGGTCGCGCCGATGTCCAGAATACCGAAGCCCTTGGAGGAGCTCTGCTTCACACTCATGAGGATCCAGTCGTCTAGCTTCTCCAGGGTTGGCCAGCTCGGTAGCTTCACATGATGGACTTGCTCCTGCCTCTCGATGGATTTCTCCACCTCTAGGTACTTCGTCTTCTCGAGCTGTTTCTTCGGAAGCCTCGGTCGATTCTTGATCACTGGCCTATTGTTGAGCGTCGTCTCCAGCTCCAGGCGCGAGGTCTCGTTCCTGATGAGATTCACCTCCATCTCGGCGTCCTGCTCAGCGCCGAAGAACACGTAGGCTCCGAAACCTCGCTTGGGTCGTTCACGATCTTTGCTGCTGGTGGAGGAAGCGCGGTCTTTATGATCCTTCGCCTCATGATTGCCGCCACACTTCAGACAGGGTCCCTTGCGGGGCGGCCGGCCCTGGGAGCGATCGCCATCACGTCGGGGTGGTACATCACGTCGTTGTCCGCTCCCTCGGCCTCGTCCTTTCGATGATCCAGAGCCTCGGGATCCAGCTCGAGGTCCCTGGAACTTGCGCTGTCCACCGCGTCCTTCTCGCTTCTTGTTCTCATCCACGGGGTAGAACTTCCTGGCGGTCTTCACTCGTCGGAGTAGATCCCGAGCTTCTTCGAAACTGCGCTGCTGGGCGGCGAACGCGGTCTCGGCCTCCTCGATCTCCTGGGCGCTGTAGAGCGGCTCCTCGGGATCTCCTTCGTCCTCGTCGCCGTCCGCGTCCTCATAGGTGGCCTCCGACTGGTCGCCATCGTAGTAGCTGTAGTCGTCGTCGTCCTCGCTGTTCTCCTCCCAGCCGGCGTGGATCCGACCTCGCTCGCGATGGCGATGGTTGTCCTTGCCGTGCTTCTTATCTCTGTTCGTCAGCTCGTCATCTGGCCAGGACACTCTTAGCTGCTCGCCGATGCTGTCGTAGTCGAAGTTGCCTTTGACTGCGCTGATGACTGCCGCACGCTCCGTCGGGGAAAGTCTCGACCTCTGCAGCAGTAGCCATCCGCGCAGCTGGTCAAGGGGAATCGCCTGCTTGAAGTCGGTTCCGAAATCTGGATGCTCGGGGATCTCCTCAAGACCTGTCCGGATGAAACTCCAGAGCCGGTGGTTCAACTCCTTGGCCTTGTCGGCGGCGTCCTCCGGGCCCTCCTGCTCGATCTTGTACAGGAACCAGTTGAGCTCTGAGTAGAGGGCGTTCCATTCTTTTGCCCTTGCCGACAGCCGAGCCGTGCGCTGCTTCTTGAAGTACTCGGTGTCGAAACCCTTGACCACGTCATGGTAGGCCTCATCGTCTCTGCTGATGTAGCTCGGCATTGGCTCTCCAGTGTCTCGACGAAGATCGAAGATCCATCTGGCTAGATATTTGCCTGCATCCTGGATGGGCTGAGCACCGAGCTTGGCGCGAATGTGTCGCAGTAGTTCAGCTGCACCGTCGTCTCTCTCAATGCGGTCCCAGTCCACATCCTTTGCTGCTTGTCGTGCTCGACCTTCTAGTCGTCTCCACAGCCGAGGGCCGCATACATATCGTTCGTCTCGACGGGTGCCTCGGATGTAAGCTTTGACATCTCTCTCATAATCGTCCACCGTGGTGAGATCTCCGTTCCACTTCGGGATGATGTCATCGTTGTTATTATTATTCCTCGTCATGACTCAAACGATGAACTGATATCCGTGAATCTGTTGTCCGTGGAGCTTTATAGCTCCGCTACCATGCAATGGTCCCGCTTAGAACCACTGCCCTGATCGTAGTCCTTGTTGATACTACTCTCTTCTCTCTTCTGACACGTGCCGAAAGTACTGTCGGTGTTCGGGTCGAATCTGAGGGCAGTGCTGGTGCGAGGCTGCTCGCACCGTGGTGATGAACAGGATCTGTTTGTCAGCGGGCAGTTCGCTGTCCTGCGTCTCTAGGACGCACACCAGGAGTCCAGCGTCGCTGAGACGCTGCAAAAGCTTGAGCCAGAACGGTTTCGGATGAACCTGTTCTGGGATATTATAATGGGGATCTCGAGGGATCTCGGAGGGCCTACTGAGCAAGGCTAGCTGCAGTCTGGAGGCTAAAGAGGGCCCGATTCGCCGGGAAACGCTTGGCTAACATACATGGGGCTCCTTTGGAGCCTGAAGCATATATCACGCACGGCCTCTAGAGGCCATCTGTCGTAAGTAGGCTCTAGTGAGGCAGGCTCGGGGCTGTGAATTGCACAGGGTGGGTGTCCGGGGGGGGACACGGGCCGGGGGAGAGACGACTCCCCCGTGGAGTGTTCCGGGGGGGTCGCCACCCAGACATGCCTCCCTCCTGGGATGTCCTGGGTCCCAAAAAACACAAGGACGGGCCAAGAGTCAAGCGTACCTGAAGAGGCCCCAGAACGATCCAAGAAGGCCCCGAATCGCCTCGCCGAACGATCTATCTCTCCAAAACGCCTCGACGGCCTCCTCCAGACGGCCCATGAGGCTTGCAAAGCTCCCCACGAGGCCTCCAGGAGCACTCCCAAGAAAACCCCAAGTCGCGAATTAATCAATGTCCTGAAGGTTTTTCCAACGCATCCTGTGGTGTTGGGTCCTCGTTTTGAAGAGACAGCGCCCTGCGTCTCACTCATTCCTCCCGCTGCCCCCTCCTCCCATCCTCACCCTCCTCCTCTCCTCCCCTTTCTTGGCACACCCCTCACACGTTTCGTGGTTCCAAAGGGAGCTCCACCACACGCCCAGATGCCAGCGCTCGCATGCGCCCACCGCACATATTCTGGCACACCCCTCACACGCTTCGTGGCCACATAGGGAGCCCCACCGAAGGCCCACATGCCAGCGCTCGCGTGCGCCCACCGCACCAATTTTGGCACACACACACACACTCCTCACACGCTCCGTGGCCCCATAAAGAGCTCCACCGAAGGCCCAAATGCCGGCGCTCGCATGCGCCCACCACACCCATTTTGGCACGCCGTTCACAGGTTGTGTGGCCCCATATGCGGTTTCCAAAGGGAGCTCCACCGCACGCCCAGATGCCAGCGCTCGCTTGCGCCCACCGCATCCAGTTTGGCACACACCTCACACGTTTTGTGGCCACATAGGGAGCACCACCACAGGACCAGGCTCGCGTGCGCCTACCGCACCCAGTTTGGTACTTCTCACACGCTTTGTGGCCCCATAGGGGGCTCTACCGAAAGCCCAGATGCCAGCGATCGCATGCGCCCACCCCACACATTTTGGTACACTCCTCACACGTTTTGTGGCCCCATAAAGAGCTCCACCGAAGGCCCAGATGCCAGCGCTCGCATGCGCCCACCGCGCCTATTTTGGCACACCCCTCACACGTTTTTTGGCCCCATAGGGAGCCCCACCGAGGGCCCACATGCCAGCGCTCGCGTGCGCCCACCGCATCCATCTTGGCACACCCATCACACGTTTTGTGGCCACATAAAGAGCTCCACCGAAGGCCCACATCCCAGCGCTCGCATGCGCCCACCGCGCCCATTTTTGTACAACCATTGCACGTTTTGTTGCCCCACAGGAAGCTCCACCGGAAACCCAGGTGCCAGCGCCCGCATGCGCCCACGGCACCTATTTTGGCACACCCACAGAGAACTCCACCGAAGGCCCACATCCCAGCGCTCGTATGCGCCCACCGCGCCAATGTCGGGACACCCCTTAATCGTTTCATTGCCCCATAGGGAGCTCCACAGAAGGCACACACGCCAGCGCTCGCATGCGCCCACCGCGCCCATGTTGAGACACCCCTCGCACGTTTTGTGGCCCCGTAAGAGGACTCCACCGAAGGCCCACATGCCATCGCTCGCATGCGCCCACAGCGCCCATTTTGGGACACCCCTTCACACGTCTCTTGGCCCCACAAGGGGCTCCACCGGATGCCGCGCATACCACGGCAGTACCCACAATTGCATATGGTTGGGTCTTCCGCCAAGTTAGTGGAAGGATTTTGACGTTCTCGCCCCTTACGCTTCCCGACGCTCCAAGACGGTCCGAGATGCCCCCCAACAATCGCACCAAGACAGCCCAAAGTCCCGCAAGAGGTTCCCAACATGGCCCAAGAGAGCCCCAAGATGGCCCGAGACGCCACCAAGACAGGCCAAGAGGCACCCAAGACGGCTACCAGAGGGTGCCCGGACGGGGGGGGGGGGGCCGAACGGACAGATCGAGCCCTCGCCCCCAAGAAGCTATCAGGAGGCCCCAAGCCTCCAAGACGCCTCCAAGAAGCCCCCAGGAAGCCCCCAAGATGCCCCAAAGAGGCTCCCAAGAGTCTCCCACAACGCCCCCAAACAACCTACCAGAGGCCCCCGAAAGCGCTACGAAGGGACCCCGACACGCATTCCCTTCGCCACCTGCTCCTCCCCCTCCTCCCCCTCTTCCTCCGCCTCGTCTTCATCGTCCTCCCCCTTCTCGTTCCCCCTACAAGCAGATATTCGACGAAACATAAAACATGGCCAAGAAGCACCAACATACGCACAAAAACATGTAAACAAAACATCGTCCCGAAACTACTGTTTTACTTTGTTTGAATACTGTTCATGTAGAGGGACAGGCCCGACTTAAACCTGCCCTGGAAAAGGGTCGGGCCCTCGATCCTTGCTCCTTCCCCGATACCAGGCGAACGACGAGAGGAGAGAGGTCTTACGCGAGATGGCGCAGCGACCTTACGCTCAGGTCGGGCGGGTCCCCCTACTGGCGGATTTTGCACAACAGATTCACAATAGCAAGAACATGCCCCCAAAAATCTGAAACATCCTAAAAACAAATCGTCCATGGATTATTCTCGGACTATTTTTGAATGTTCCTCCTGTAGAGGGACTGGCCCGACTCAACCTCACGCGGCGGCTTACGCGGGCCGCCAGCGCGGCACGCTGCATCGGAAGCGAGGGCGCTTGCGCGCGACCTCACGCGGCCAGCCTGCATGCGAGTGTCCGCGCACTCGAGTCCGTCTTCTGCGTCGCTGCAGTGCCGCCGGCCCGAGGTGACCCCAGGATCTCCGAGGATAACCAGCCTCGAACGCATCCCTGTCCCTAAGATAGGCGAGCAAAAAGCGAGGACAATCTTAGGAACAGGCCCTCAAACACTGACGGGAATCCTTAAGATCGGCATCGAGGTGAGGTGGTGTCAAAGATAGGGATAGGGATATGTTCCAGGCTGGTAAGAGTGAAGGGGAACCGGGACACACAAATAAATACACACAAATAAAAATATTCCCCATATTTTCCCATATTTTCTGGGTTTTTGTCTTCCCCCCCACTTCCCATATTTTCCCATATTTTCCTGGGATGCGACGATTAATTGTGTCTGTGTTTTTTTCCCCTCCTGAAAGAGGGGGGCCCCCACGGCCGCCAGAGCACCCTCTGCGAGGCCCCGGGGGCCCCGGCGACCACCCCGCCCCTGGGGCCGAGGCCGTGGGCCCGAGGCCGGGGCGGGGAGCGCGGTGGGCCCGCGCGGCAGCTGCCGGCACGCCGCGGAGCCGCCCCCCGTCGGGCCATGGGGGGGGGGGAAGTGCGCGGCCTTCTCAGCATCTTCTTCCTCTTGATCATCATCATCATCATCATCATCGTCCCTCTTTTCCCCTGCCGCCCTTCCCCTCCTGCTCGTCCTCCTCCTCTTCCTCCTCCCCCATCCTTCTCCTCCGCCTGCTACTTCTTCTCCTCCTTCTTTTCCTCAGCCTCCTCCATCTCCTTCTCCTCCTCATTCTTGTTCTCCTCCACGTCCTCCTCCATGAAGCCGGGGGGGGGAGCGGGATGGGGAACGGCAAGTGCGTTTTCTGCTTCCGCACGGTCGGGCCCGGGACAGAAGAGCCTCCTTCGAGAGCACGAGGCCCTCCGCCGGCCAGAACACACAGAACATCCAGGGGCACCCTCCCCAGGATGCACGAGAACATCTGACACGCGCGAAGAACACGAGGATGCCCTCCACGAGCCGACCTCGACCTGGTGAGCGTTGAGTGTTTTGTTATTCGGCGTTTCGACATTGGGCGGAAAGGGGGGGGAGGTGGACCTCTGCTAGTGCGGCTGTTTGCAAGAGTGCTGCCTCTGGGGGAGACTCCACCCCCGCCCTAATAAACAGGCGCCCCCAAAAACAGCCAAGTTCCATTCCACGGGGCGGGGGGGAGGGGGAGGGGGTTCGAGAGACCGCGCCGATCGGCACAACAACGAATGAAAAAACGCTCACCTGATGCCTCGGCCCGGCTGTCTCAAGCACCCCGTCGGCAGCCCACACCCGGGAGTGAATCGGACGTGCCGCGTGCCAGCGTCCGCCCGCGCGAGGCCACGGGCCGCGAGCACTGCGAGCTCACGGGGGAGGGGCGAAGGCAAGGAGGAGATGGGGAGCGGCAGGCCCGGGGAGCACGCAGCGAGGAGGAGGAGGCGGAGGCGGAGACGGAGGCGGAGGAGGAGGAGGAGGAGGAGGAGGAGAAGGAGGAGGAGGAGGTGGAGGAGGCGGAGGAGGACGAGGGGGGGGGGAGTGGAGCGGTAGGGAAGGGTAGATCTTCGGCCAAAGAGCACGGAGGGGGGAGTGGGCGCGAGGGTGAAGGTGGAGGGCCCGAGCGAGAGAGCTGTCAAGACGCGGCAGCTGCAAGTATCGACGCGGGCATGTGCACGAGACAATCGCACAGGACAGATGGCCCTGAACAAGCGACGTCCCCTCGTCTCTCTCGTCCTCGTGCTCGTGTGCTCCTCCTCCTCCTCCTCCTCCTCGCAGGCAGCAGGAGGCGTAACCAGGTCTAGTCACTCATCTCGGCCTGCTGTGCTTTTGGGCAATTGCTGCGCGGGCAAGAATTTTCCGGGGCATCGGGCGCGAGCGACGATGGGCGTTGTGGAGATGGAAGGCTGTGATTGAGCAAAGATATGATTGACTTCTGTCCTCCTCCTCCTCCACCTCCTCCTCCTCCGCCTCCTCCTCCTCCGCCTCCTCCTCCTACTCCTTCTCCTTCTCCTCCTCCTCCTCCTCCTCCTCCTCCTCCTCCGTCCCCTCCCCCTCCCCCTCCCCCTCCTCCTCCCCCTCCTCCTCCTCCTCCTCCTCCTCCTCCTCCTCCTCCGCCTCCGCGTCCGACTCCTCCGCCTCCTCCTCCTCCTCCTCCTCCTCCTGCTCCTCCTCCTCCTCCATTCCTTTTCCTTGTATGTAACTTCTCCCTGTCGCACCCCGAGGCCAGTAGGGCGGGCCTGGCGTTTCGCCTGAGACTTCCTCACCACTTATGACTCGGAAGACTACAAAGTGGCAACAGCTTCGCAGATTTGAGGGCGGGCCGTTTTCAACATGTGGCTCTCGCCTTAGCGCGGCGCACATTCGTTTTAGAACCTTGTAAGAGTTTTACGGGTTGAGGGCGGGTGGTTTTCAAACTATGGTTCTAGCCTTTGCGCGGCGTGCACTCGTTTTACGCTGTTGCAAGAGCTTCACGGATTGAGGGCGGGTGGTTTTCAACATGTGGCTTTCGCCTGAGCGCAGCGCACATTCGCTTTTTGTGTATGTGTATATGTAAATATGTCTTGTAACAATTTCACAGGTTGAGGGCGGGCCGTGTTTCCAAAATGCTGCTCTCGCCTGAGCGCGGCGCACATTTTTCAAACAGTTGCAAGAGTTTCACGGAATCCCATCATCAACTTTCAGAATCTGTGTTTTGAGAAGGTTCAAGGTTATGCGTGCGCTTCAGTTGTATTGATTCGCTGCGTTGAAGTCCGAGGAATGGCGTTCTTGCGCGATTTAGGGTTGTCAAGTCGCAACAATCAGGTTGAACCAAGGCGCTGGAATCCCGAGAACAATGTCTTGGTATGCTTCAGGGTCTTCAGACGGTCGTCTTCCAAAGCGGCAGTTCCTTCAATGGATATGAACCGTTGTAGGGGCCTATGACGAGGGAACTTGGAGGGAGGGTTCATTCCAACATCGTTGATGGCTCTTTTACACTGGTTCTTCTCCTCCTCCTCCGCCTCCGCCTCCTCCTCCTTCTCATCCGCCTCCTCCTCCTCATCCGTCTCCTCCTCCGCCTCCTCCTCCTCCTTCGTTCCTTTTCCTTGTACATGCTTTCTCCCTGTCGAAGCCCGAGGCCACATTTTAGGGCGGGCCCGGCGTTTCGCCTGGGTCTTCCTTACCATTTATGATTATGTAGTTTCAAATGTGGCAGTAGTTTTACATATGGAGGGCGGGTGGTTTTCAAATATGGTTTCTGCCTTAGCGCCGCGCACATTCGTTTTGAACAAATGGCAAGAGCTTCACGGATGGAGGGTGGGTCGTTTTCAAAATGTGGCTCCCGCCTTAGCGCCGCGAACATTCGTTGTAAACAACTCCAAGGCCTTCACGGATTGAGGGCGGGTGGTTTTCAACATGTAGCTCTTACCTCAGCGACGCGCACACTCGCTTGAAACAATTGCAAAAGCTTCACGGATTGAGGGCGGGCCGTTTTTTCAAAATGTGGCTCTCGCCTCAGCGCCGCGCACATTCGTTGTAAACATTTGCGAGAGCTTCACGGATTGAAGGCGGTTCCTTATTAAACTGTGGCTCTCGCCTCAGCGCCGCGCGCACATTCGTTCATGAAAATTTGAAAGATTCTCGCTGGTTCCGAGGATCAACGTACCAGAAATGGCGTTTTGGAAGGATTCCGGATTATGCGGGTGTAACAACTATGTTGATTCGCAATGTTGAAATCCCCCCAAAAGGCGTTCTGTCACGATTCCGGATCGTCTACACGCAGCAGACGGGCTGATCCGTGGCGTTGGAATCCCGAGAACTATATTTTGGCATGCTTGAGGGTCTTCAAGGGTGTCTTCCAACGAAGCAATTCCCTCAATGGAAATGGACCGCTGTAGGAGCTTATGAAGAGGGAGCTTGGAGGGAGGGATCATTAAAACATCGTTGACGATTCTTTGGTTTACACTGGTCCTCCTCCTCCTCCTCCTCCTCCTCCCCCTCCTCTCTCCTCCCAAACCCCTCCTCCTCCTCCTCCTCCTCCTCCTCCTCCTCCTCCTCCTCCTCCTCCTCCTCCCTCCTCCTCCTCCTCCTCCTCCTCCTCCTCCTCCCTCCTCCTCCTCCTCCTCCTCCTCCTCCTCCCCCTCCCCCGTGGCCCTTTCGACTCAAATCTGGCCCGATCTCGTCGTGCAGCGCCCGCGCCGGGGCGGCCAGGCTTCCCGAAAGTGTGGCAGCCCAGCCCGCCGCGCCCAGGAGGAGGTCCCCTCGCCGTGGCCATGCCGCCCCCCGCCTCCTCCTCCTCCTCCTCCTCCTCCTCCTCCTCCTCCTCCTCCTCCTCCTCTCCTCCTCCTCCCTCCCCCTCCCCTCCTCCTCCTCCTCCTCCTCCTTCCCCTCCTCCTCCTCCTCCTCCTCCTGCTCCTCCTCCTTCTCCTCCTCCTCCTCCTCTTCCTCCTCCTCCTCCTCCTCCTCCTCCTCCTCCTCCTCCTCCTCCTCCTCCTCCTCCTCCTCCCCCCCCTCCCCCGTGGCCCTTTCGACACGCTGCGCCCTGCAACGGGACTTGGGCGCCTGGGGGCCGAGTCGTGGTTGGCGTGTCGCGCCGAAGTGTGGTGGGCCAGAGCCGTCGGCGCGACGCGCCAAGGCGAAGCTCCAGGCCTCAGGTGCACGCACTGTGCGGGGAGCACGAAACCAGGCCCTCAACTGGCGAAGTTCGGAGGGATGGCCCTCCAACCGCGTAGGGTGCTCGGGGTCCCCCATGTGTCCACACGAAGCTCGCACAGCCAAACATCTCCTAGGCAAAACTGCTTCTAGACGCGCTGGAGCTGGGCCAGCTCATCGGCTCGTACTCCGAAGTCGGCCCCGATCTCGTCCCCTGGAGCTCCCTTGTCAGATCCCGAAGGTCACGTTCTCGAGCATGCAGAAGCCAGCCACGAGCCAATCTGGTCTTCCCTCTTCTCCCCCCCGCCACCCCCTCCCAGGAGAACGCAGGGGGAGCATCACGTCCTCCATAGAGGAGCACGGGCGCCAGGGCCACGGGAGGGCCCGTCGCGCGCGGCCAAAGCCCAAGAGCAAGGGTCCTGTGAAATGCCAGCAGCCAGAGGTACTCGAAGTCCTCGCGCCAGACGCGGCCCTGGCCTGGGAGGCAGTGCTGGGCCCCATCCCTCACCTCCTGCTCACGCTCTCTGCTCCATGCTCCCTGCTCCCTGCTCCTCCTCCTCTTCCTCCTCCTCCTCCTCCTCCTTCCTCCTCCTCCTTCCTCCTCCTCCTCCTCCTCCTTGCTCCACCTCCTCCTCCTTGCTCCTTGCTCCTCCCCCCTCCGCCTCCACCTCTGGTCCTCCAGGAGAAGGGCCGCCCCCCCGTTCGCGGCCAACCGGGCCCCGCGATCTGGGCAGCTCCCCGTCCCAGCCCGCAACACTTCCTCGGCACGGCGAGCTGCCAGATTGCCTTCCTTCACCGGCACGCTCTAATTTTGGGTGTATTATTCTTAGTGTGATGCCTCCGGCTGCTGCTCCTCCTCCTCCTCCTCCTCCTCCTCCTCCTCCTCCTCCTCCCCCTCCTCCCATCCCCCTCCTCCTCCTCCTCCTCCTCCTCCTCCTCCTCCTCCTCCTCCTCCTCCTCCTCCTCCTCTCCTCCCCTTCTCCTCCTCCTCCTCCTCCTCCTCCTCCTCCCCTCCTCCTCCTCCTCCTCCTCCTCCTCCTCCACCTCCAGCCTCTCACCTCCCTCTCGCACACTCAGACTCATCATCCGTATTCAGATCAGGCCCGGCCACAGTCACACTCACTTGAGCAGACACACTCACACTCAGACTCACGCATTCAGAACTCGCACGCTTACATAACTTCGTACTCGCCTTAGCACTACTCGGAGTTACCACTTACTTCACCCAGACATAGGGTCATTCCCATTTACTCTCACACAGACTCACTGACACTCAGATCACCCACACTCAGACCATTCACGCTTAGACCCGCTCAGACTCGTACTCAGACTCCCTCACACTCAGACCCACTCACACACAGACTAAATCGCGTTCAGACTCATTTATACTCAGATCACTCACGTTCCGATCCGTTGATACTCAAACTCACCCACCGTGGTCGCCGCGCTTCAGCAGGCCTCACACTTGGGTTCCTCAAGGGGGGAACCGCCAGGGAGAATATTACGTGCCCGTTCAAGCCCAAACAGTGGGGACGACTCGAGCGTTTCCAATGTTTTCGGAGGTGGACGTGTCTCTCTGAAGTGCTCCATGATTCCCCACTTGTGACAACCACATCGGTTGGGCAACCCAAGAGAAAGTCGCCAAGGAGAATGTCATGGGCCCGTGCGCGCCCAGATCGTGGGAATAACTCGAGCGGCTCGCCTGTTTTGGGAGGTGGACGTCTATTTTCAAGGATTTCTGATCCCTCGAATGTAGCGGGCACATCAATTGGGCGCCCCAATGGGGAACCGCCAGGGGGCATCTTACTGGCCCGTTCGCGCCCGGATGGTGGGGATGACTCAACCGTTTCGCATGTTTTCGGACTTACACGTGTCGCTTCTCAGTGCTTCATGATGCTTGCTATGTAGAAGGCGTAACACCTTGGGGAACCGCCAGGGGGCAGGACGCGCGCAGATGGTGTGGATATCTTGCCGGATCTCATCTTCTAGGAGGTGGACGCGATCTAGCAGGCGTAGGACTTGTGTGCTGCAAGGGGGATCCACAACGGGGGCATTCAATTTTCGCATTCGCGCTCGATTATGAGGATTGCTTGAGCGGTTCGACTGGTTTGAACCGGTGCAGGTGTCTCACTTCGAGTCCCCACGCTGACCGCGGTGTAGCCAGCCGGCATAACCTTTGGGCCCCCCCTGTGGGAGCCGCGAGGGGAGGCGCAATCATGCCCAGACCAACATACTCTTCAGACCTGCTTGTGCCTACTCAGCCGCACTCGACCCCACCCACGCTGAGACTCGCTCACTTCAGGCACTCGGTGGAAAGGAAACTGCAAGACTTTTCTTCCGCTGGTATCCTCGCCACACCAAATACGGTCGGGAACCGTTGCTTCGCGTGTCGAGGCGGCGGCCCCGGCGACACGCTATGCCCTGTGAGCTGATAGCGTGCCGCTCCGCTCCGCGGGGCGGGAGGCCCGGGAATGGCTCGGGACGTGGACTCCTCGGGGGCCGGGACGCGGATGGCGTATGTCGCGCCGAGGCGTGGCGGCCCAGGACGGGCGGAGCGACGCGCTATCCAGAAGTCCCAGCTGCACTTCAAGCACTCAGTGAAGAAGGACCTGACTCGCCTCTTCCCTCCGCAGACTTGAAGAGGCCCACAAACACACAAATAAATACACACAAATAAAATGATTCCCCATATTTTCACATATTTTCTGGGTTTTTGTCTTCCCCCCCACTTCCCATATTTTCCCATATTCTCCTGGGAATCGACGATTAATTGTGTCTGTGTGTTTTCTCCCCTCCTGAAGACCCTGCGCCACGCTGCATCGCCGCGCTGCCTGCGGAAGCTTCGGCGCCACGGCGCGCCCGTCCGACTGCAGGCCTGCCCGGAGACAGGCAGACCCGCGGCCGGCACCTCGGCTGCGAGAGCCGACGCCGCCTCACCGCCTGTCCGCCCCGATCCCGCGGACCAGGCCCCGCCCCCGATGCCATCGGGGGCGCGCAAAGATGGCTTAGCGATCCACGGAGTTGGCGCGCGGTCGCCAAATCCATGGATCGGGGGGGGCGCCCTCCCGGAAAAGCGGCCGGTGCCGCCTCGCTCGGCGGCGGCAAGCCGCGATTTTTCCGCTGGCAACGGGGCCCGTCGCTGATATCCACGTCCCCTGGGCCCAGGTTTGCGATCGCCTGATTTGGGGTCCCGAAGCGGTGCGGTGACGGGCGGAGCGGTGACCTCGAGAAGCCCCAAGACAGCCTCCCCGCGCGGTCTGCCACCCCCGACGGGGCCCAGGGACACACAAATCATTACACACACAAAGCCCAGGATCCCCCTATAGTTTAACATATTTTCTGGGTTTTCGTCTTCCCCTCACTTCCCATGTCTTCCCATATCTTTCCTGGGGAATCGACGAATCATTGTGTCTGTGTGTTTTTGTCCCTCCTGAACCCAGCGGTGCCTGGGACCCTGGAGGCCCCGGTCGCCCCAGACGTCCTCCGAGAGAACGGCCCAGGTCCCATAACAAGTGGCACGCGTGCCCTGGCTCTTGCACCAATCATTGCACCGACCTTGCAGACGTGCTGCAGCGGATCTGTGCGTGGATTTCTGTCAATGCAAGGCCCCGAAAAGGCGAGTGAAAAAACGGAGTGAATTTCGCGTGGACTTGTTTGAAACCTTCTTTCCTGGCCAAAAGAAAAGCCGCACGAAATTCACCTCGAAATCTGGAACGAAATTCTCCGGGACACTCTGGGCCCATCCGATCGTCTTCCGAACGAAATCCGCTCTGCGATGTTGGCGCCATGACACCGAGGAACTGCGAGGGACAGCCGGCTGTCGCCTCCCTCCAGGCGTCTCCCGCGGCCGGGGGGGGCGGCAGGACGAACGACGAACGAGGCACGAACGACGAACGAACACAAAGAGGCCCGAGCTCTCGAACACAGCTGTGCAAGGGGGAGGAGGAGGAGGAGGAGAAGGAGGAGGAGGAGGGGGAGGAGGAGGAGGAGGAGGAGGACTAGGAGGAGGAGGAGGAGGAGGAGGAGGAGGAGGAGGAGGAGGAGGAGGAGACCCCGAGCCCCCACTGGCTCGCCACACGGTGGATGGCCACCGCACCACTCCCGGGGGCCCCCGAGGCCCGGCCCCCCCGCCCTCGGCAGCCCTCCCCGCCGCGCGGGGCCGGGAGGGCGCATGGCCTATCGCCAGGCCGCCGAAGAGCGGCTCGGCGGCGGCTGGCTGGCCGAGGCACTCCGCGCACCGCTCAAACTGCCCTGGCGTCACCTCCACGGGAGGGACCGGCGAGCCGAGAAGCTCCCTCGTGACAGAGATAAGAGCCTCTACGTGCAAGCGCTGCTTGGATAAAATAAAGGGAGCCCTGAGTGCAGAGACTGTGTGGGGAATATGGCCAGTGAACGTCGGGGCGCGTCGTCTCTGGAGGGCCAGTTCCAGCATCCGTAAGTTCCGACTTCATTAGCAGGAGATGTTTTGTGGATCTGGCATGTTGGGCCGCGTGATCCTGCCAAGGCAGTACTCATGCAGTCGTGCGGATATGACAGGCCGATGTGGTGTGCTGGATCTGGAGACCCTCTGATCTGGTGAGATGGCCGCCTAGATGCACAAGCGAATTGCCCTACGTGCCAATCGCCCAATCTTCTGGTCTGCTGGGTATTGAACCCATCTGCTGAAACAATCCTGATACCCAATCTGCCGAGCTTGGTGCCCCTGTTTACGGCTACCTCTAAACAACTAGAGATGCAGGGCCATGTGGTGTCAAATGCCGGCATGGAAGAACTCGTGCAATATCGCTCAAATCCTTCCGATATATATATATATATATATATATATATAGAGAGAGAGAGAGAGAGAGAGAGTCGAAGCTCTGACTAACAAATAAGTTGGGAAGATGTCAGCTGTGTTGGATCCTTCGATTGGTAACATCTGGGCGCCTTGGCTACACATCGAAACTGATTGCTTCTATGTGATGTTGACTGTTTGTTGTATCGGTGGCCGGCTGATCCAGCGACCCATTCATGTGGGACGAGCGACCCTCTGATGTAGGATGTTGTCGGTTTGGCTGGGTGGTCAGATCTAACCTGGTGATTCGGTGCGCTGGGCAGGTGATCTGTGATCGCACGATCCGCCGATGCTTCTGGTATCAACTGTGGGCATACCCCAAAAATCTCAATGGAAATCGCATGAGTCATATCCATGCTAACACAATTCATTCCAAATGGCCCCCACTATGCCCTAGACTATTTGGGGCCGCTGCGGGTCCCTAACCAACCTTCTGACTGGCAAGATTTCCATGACACGCGACCCCGGTACTCACCGCGACCCCGTGCGGGAGCCCCCCCCACTATAGACTTCGCTGCCTGGCGCCCCTCTCGGCCCAGGACGGCTTCAGCACGGCCCCCAGGCGGCCCAACCAGCTGCCGGAGAAACGGCTGCGGTACGCCCCGGATTCGGCCCGAGATTGCCAGAAGACTCCCCGGAGCTCCCGAGATGTCCTCTGGACCCCCCAACAGGCTGCAAGACGCTCCCATGAGGCCCCCAAAGAGCACTCCAGAGCAGCGCTCTCGGAGGCCGAAGGCGGGGAACAAGCACAGACTGGCACCGTCGGTTCGCTTCCGAGGCTGCTCGGCCTAAGATGACCGCAGCAATGCTGCCGAGAGCCAAGCCGCTGGCACCGTGGCAGGACTTCGCTGCAGGATGCTGGGAAGCATGCGCACATACGTACACTCATACAAACTGGTATGTGTATGTGCCGATGTATGCGATTATGGAATCATGCATGCATGCATGCATGCATGCATGCATGTATGCGTGTGCATGTCTGTATGTATGTATGCGTGTATGTATGTATGTACGAATGTATGTATGTATGTATGTAGTATGTATGTATGTATGTATGTATGTATGTATGTATGTATGTATGTATGTATGTTTGTATGTGTATGTATGTATAAATGAATGCATGTAAGGGGGTGTATGTATGTACGTATGGATGCTTGCACGTATGTTAGTATGTGTTGACTGACCTTTCGTTGAAAACAAGACACATGACCTCAACCGTATCAGACGATACATAATTTCCGCGCACAAGCACACGCACACCCACTGATCCCCGCCATGACTGCAACTCTGCCAAACAGTTTCGAGTTCGCGTGACGTGGCCGCCCTGCTGCTGCTGTTGCTGCTGCTGCTCATGGCGGTCGAAGAAATCATGTGGCCATGCAGACCTGTCCTGCTCCTCCCACCCGGCAAAAACCAGGGTGGGATGGGGGGGCTCAGCGGCGGAAAGGTGAGAAGAAAACACGAGATCACAAACGAGGCATACAGAGAGACGAGGTGCGGCCCGGCCGGCCGTCGCTGCCGCAGGCCGCGTCGCCGTCGCCCCGCGACTCGCCCCGAGATCCGCCCGCGGCCCGCACCGCAGCTCACCCGCCGCGCGCCCCGCGCCCCACCCGCCACCCGCCCCGCGACCCGTCCTCGGCCTGCCCCGCGGCCCTCTCTGCGAGGCGGGGATTTAGCCATGTCCACCGCCTGGGAAGCGACGTCCTGGTGCCACAGCGGGGGTGGATGTGGACAGGCTTCGGCCCCCGGGGGCCCGAATGCGTCCATATCCACCGCCTGCCGAGGATGCGACAACTGACCCTCCAGGCGGAGGAGGGAGGAGGGAGGAGGGAGGAGGGCGGAGGGAGGGAGGAGGGAGGAGAGAGGAGGGAGGAGGGAGGAGGGAGGAGGGAGGAGGAGGAGGAGGAGGAAGGAGGGAGGAGGAGGAGTAGGAGGGAGGAGGGAGGAGGGAGGAGGGAGGTGGTCGTGTATAAATTCCCGCCCCGGACTCTCGCCCCCCGCCCCGCGTGGCCCAAGGTGTCTTCGCTGCAGTGCGCAGCTCAGGACGCATTCCAGTGAGCGCGATGCGCTTCGGAGGCGCTCTATTCCCTGCGTCGCAGCCCAGCTGGCCATCGCGAGGGGCAAACGCATTGTGCACGGGCGCACGTCGAGCCAATCCACCCGCGATCCATTATTCGCTACGCCCATGACCCACTGACAGCTCATCCGCAGTTTTTTTTTTTTTTATTTTTTTTTTTTTTTTTTTTTTTTTTTTTTTGCAATTTTCTGCCTTGGCGCCGGCCTGCTTAAACTCGGGGGTGGACAGAAACCCTTAAAAAAACCCGTTTCGTGAAAGCTGGCATGGGCAATCAACGTATGCAGGTACCGCATTCCGAGTGCGCCCCAGTGCGGTAGCTAATCGACATCCAAAAACCAGCGAATGCATCGGGCGAAACGCACGTCGATCAGCGAAACCGACGGGGGGCTCGAGTGCCAGTGTCGAGCGAACCCCTGCAGAGTTCCTCGGTCGACTCGTCTGGGTGGGCCGTCTATCAGTGCCCGGTAGATTTGGCTCTGGGGAACACCATCGCTCACCCCCGCCCGCGCGACCCGCCGACGGACAGGCCACGACCCTCCCTCAGAGTTAAAACAAAGTCGGCGCCGACGGCAGGCTGCTCTGCATTGGTCTCGGAGGGCACTGCTGATCTTGGAGGGCGCTGCTGCTCAGATGCGATCGCTGGTCGACCTGCCCCCGGCGAGGCAGCCTGGGCGTCCCCCCTTCACCTTTCTCTGCAGATGCGGGGCTTCAGGTGCCCTCCTTGGTCTTGCTTCGAGCACGGTCTGGCAATGTTGTGAGGGGCAGCGCTGGAAGGGGATAGGCATAGGAGGGATGCATCGACCTGGAATCGGCGATACATCGCCGATAGATCGGCGATAGGCTCCCGATCGTGAATCCGCACCTTCCTGGGCGGGGTGGGGCTATCGGGCCCATATCGGCGATCAATGGGCGATTGGGTATCGAAGCATCCCCCCCCTATGCCTATCCCCCCTATCGTTGCCCCTGATGTTGTCGCGTAGGCCGAACAACCCGATTATCCGGTCGTGTGGGTCGCGGGTGGCGCTTTTTGGCCGTGTTGACGTACAATATAATGATCCATTGTTCTCCGAGAAAAGTCGCCGAGGGAAATCCGCCAGTGAGAAGGGGCGGGAAGTGAGAAGGAAGGGGCGGGCCTTCTCAGAGGGCTCGGAAGCCCCCCGGCCTTCTGAGGAGTGCTCCCACAGCCATCCCCGATGACACAGACGCCTTCTCAAGGGGCGCGAGGGCTTCTGAGAAGTCCCACCGCCTTCTGAGGAGGCCTCCTCCCTCTCACTTCCCCCCCTCGCTGGCCGCCGAGAACACCATGGGGGACCTCGCGCATCCGGACCAGAGGCCGAGCGAGAACACCCCCGCGAGCGCTCTCTCGGGCCGCTCCGGCCAGGCCGCGCCGCCCGGGCCACGGTGGAGGAGACGCCTCCCCCCGGGCCCCCCCCCCCCGCTTGTGGAGGTTCTGGTGGGTGAAGGGGAACTGGGACACACAAATAAATACACACAAATAAAAATACCCCCCCATATTTTCCCATATTTTCTGGGTTTCGGTCTTCCCCCCCACTTCCCATATTTTCCCATATTTTCCTGGGAGTGGACGATTAATTGTGTCTGTGTGTTTTTTCTCCTCCTGAGTGGGAGGCATCATTGATCTCGATGAGAGCCCTCTCGCGAAACGCTACTACAGTAGGAGCCCGACCACGAGCAACCTTCCAGCAGAAACCCAATCCGGAGACCCCAGGACGTCCGTGGATGTCTGGTGTGGGGGCGTGACGCTTTTTCCATGGCAAAGCCATTGAGGCACAAACAAACAGGGCACTCTGGAAGCAAGCAGGGTGTTTTTGTTGGCAGGGGCTTCCACTGTATCAGAATCCTCCAGCGAAGTGCGATTCGGGAATAAGAAGCCCGCCGTCACATGTGACACCTCCCAACCTCACTTCGGGGAGCTCTTTGGGGCCGTCCCAGGGTTGCCCTGGGCTCGTTTGCAGTAGTCGTGGGGATCCATTGGGATCCTCTTGGGCCGTCTTCGGGCTCGCATGAGCCGTCGTGGGGCCCCTCGCTGTCTGGACGGTCTCTTCCGGCCGTTGTGGAACCGCCTTGAGGCCGTCTTGGACCGTCGACGGGCCCTCTCAGCTCGTCTACCTTGGAGGCCTCTTGGGCACGGTTGCACCGACGAATGTCCGAGAAGGCGGAAATGCCGCAACCTTCCTAGAACTAAATGGTGATCCATACTTTTGACCTCTTCGGGGGCCCTCCGGCGAGACTGCGGCAAGGCATGGTGTCTGCCAGATGTTCTGGCCATCTACTGATCGGGGTTTCACTGGTGTAGCACAGTAGGAGCTCGACAACAAGAGGAAGCCCAACCCTGAGACCCCAGGACGTCCATGGATTTGCGGTGAGGGAGCGCCACGCTTTCCATGGCAGAACCATCGAGACCCAAGAAACCCAGGGCACCCTGGAGGCAAGCAGGGTGTCTTTTTGTGGCATGTGTTTCCGTCGCCTCGAGCGCCTGCTCCTCCTCCTCCTCCGCCTTTACCTCCTCCTCCTCCTCCTCCTCCTCCTCCACGACGAAGCCGCCCCCTCCCCCCACAAAATGCACTGCAGTGTATTGCTGCCGGCGGGCTGCACCGCAGCGCTACGGGTGCCCTGCGGGCAGGGGGCGCGGGGTGACCAAGAGCACCTGCCGATGCCGATGGCGAACTCGGAAATCCCCTCGCAAAGGATTATTCGAACTCCCTCAATAATCGACCTCCCCCTACAAAACCGGACCCCCCCTTCAACGACAATCCAATCTTCCGGACCCCCCTGTCAACGGGGGGCATTCGTATTCTAGACCCCCCTCGTCTTCGGTTCGAGGAAAGCGCCCTAATAAACCGGACCCCCCGCTTTCAAAACAGGCGCCTCAGAAAACCGGACCCCGGGCACGATGATTGAAGGACTTCGAGCAGCGGGCATTTGCACCTCGAACCCGCAAGCGGCACCAAGAGCCCGATACTTCGCCGCTGGCAAGTCGGGGCGCGAGCCGCCTCACGCAAACGCGCTTCTCTTAACGGGCCAGCATGACCACCCAAATCCAGGCTCCAAAGGCACGGCCACCTGTTATCCCCACTGGCTCGACTCTCGTCTGGGTTGCCCATGTCAACGGAATAGGAACCAGGGGGATCTTCTCAATCAAGCATCGCTTTAACGATCCACACCTTCAAGAAGATGGCCATGGCCCCACTGGCCAGCTTACCCCCCCAATTGGAATATATGCTGTTCCTTCCGGGTTTCGCGCGCGTGTCCTTAACCGGGGTGGGTGGGCTGAGACACCATGACCAAATGGGGATTTGGGAGACAAGAGGGTACAGATACCGCTCCTCCCCCGACCTCGTGCGTCCTGACAAGAACCTCCAAGCGAACCCAGCCGTGGCGACGAGGCTCTCCCCGGAGGCCCCACGAGAGGCACACGAGGCAAAAGGATGGCGGCACCGCTGCCCTCTGTCCTCCCCTGCGGGATGGGGATCGGCTGGAAGCCAGCAGCTGACCCAACTCGCTCCAACGGCCCCCGCCTCTCGGCACGGACGGGCGACGGGCGGGCCTCGTCGGGCACGCTGCCGCGGACGCTGTCGTGGCGGGCGAGCATGCCCCAGGCGTCGTCCAAGTTGAAGGCCGCC